TTGGAGGCAATGCCTCTCTGGTTTCTGATTGAACTGCCTAATGGCCATGATGCCAGAGACTCAGAAACGAACTTCGGAACCCAAAGGACTTTGGCAGAAATGCGTCCTGTCCCTGCAGTGAGTTACTGGCGCTTGGGCCACTACAGGTGGGAATAGGTTTCGTGCCTTGGCCTGTTCCCCCTGGTGGCCCGGTGACCACCATCCTCCAGAGTCAACTAGACAGTCAGGTTTGGACCTGCAGTGACGAGACACTCAGGGCCTCACCAGATGGGGGTGGAGCCGACCCTTTCCTCCCCATCCCAACAAGACCCTGAGTAGCCACCTACAAACAGCCTCTCTGGCTCCTGATCAAGTTGATTAACGACCATGATCCCAGAGACTGAGAAACAAATCTCTAAACACAACGGCTTTTGGCAGAAATGCATCTGGACCGCCTCAGAGCTTATTGGAAAGCCAGGTATGAGCCAGCGGTGACAGGGCAACTGCAGTCTCATGGGAAGGGGGGCAGTACCGACCCGTCTTTCACTCCCTACCAACATCATGAGTTGCCCTCCACAATCAGCTGTCCGGCACAGTCATGGCTCCAGAGGCAAAAGGACTTAATCCAGAGCTTGGCAGCTTGCGGCAGAAAAGTGAATGGACCATGCATTAAATAGTGGCGCCATGCCTCCCCGGTAGGGAAAGGGTGTTGCTCCCTTCCACCTTCCCCCCCCCCCACCCCCAGCAGCAAGGTGGCCGCAGCCTCAGAGCTTATTGGAAAGCCAGGTATGAGCTGGCAGTGACGGGGCAACTGCAGTCTCATGGGAAGGGGGACAGTAGCGGCCCGTCCTTCATGCCCTACTGAGGTCACGAGTTTCCCCCCACGAGCGGCTCTCTGGCACAGCCATGACTCCAGAGGCAAAAGAACTTAGTCCAGAGCCTGGCAGCTTGTGGCAGAGAGGTGAATGGACCATGCATTGAACTGCAGCGCCATGCCTCCCTGGGAGGGAGAGGATGTTACGCCCTTCCACCTCCCCCCCACACACACACACACACCAACAGCAGAGTGGCCATTGCCTCAGAGCTTGTGGGAGGGCCAGGTGTGGACCAGCAGTGATGGGGCAAGTGTAGTTTCATTGGAAGGGGGGCGGTACCGGCTTGTCCTTCATGCCCTACCGAGGTCACGAGTTCCCCCCCACAAGCGGCTCTCTGGCACAGCCATAACACCAGATGCACAGAAACCATAATTATCTGGCTCTTTGCAGAAATCCGCACGACATTATATGATTCTCATAACCAGCTATAGAAAACAAAGTATTTCACAATGCCCTTTCAGCAATTCTGATTGTTGGGGGGGGGGGGGGGAGGAATTCTAAACAATAATGGTGCATCTTTTGTCGAAATAATTAATGTAATCAATGTAGAGAAGAGTTGGGTGGAGATCATCTGCCTCACAGGCATTGGGAGGGGTGGGAGGGGGGTATATTGGGGTTCTTGGTGGTAAAAGGTGAGCACTGGTGAAGGGAAAGGTGTTTGATCATTGTATGACCAAGACTTAGACCCGGAAGCTTTGTAGATTTTCCCGCTTATGGCAGAAGATACAAAATTCTTGAAAATTTCAATAAATAAATATAAGAAAAAAATCAGTATCTGTATTGCAAACAAAAATGCCCTAAAGGAGAGAGAGAGAGAGAGAGAGAGAGAGAGAGAGAGAGAGATGCCTGCCATAGAGGCAGGCTGGGGGAGGGAGGAAAGGATATGGAGGAGGTGGTATTGTACACTGGTGAGTATTGGTGGGAAATGTACACTGGTGGAGGGATGGATATTGTAACATTGTATGACTAAAAATAATGAAAGTCTTGTAACTGTATCTCACAGTGACACTGTTTTTAAAAAATAGACTTAAAAAAATTTTAAAATAAGAATAAAAATGTATTGTTTCCCTCTGGGACAATAGTTAAACTCTCATCTGGGGAAAATATACAGATTTTTTAGTAGCCTCTGTTCAAATTGAGTTTTCTAAATTTGGTGTTGAAACCTATGTACTGAGCATCCCCCTGGGCCAACCTTAAATCATCCTACAGAACTGGGGAGCAATAGGATTGAAATCAACATAAAGCTTATGCTACTCACTGTAAGATGTGCCATAAAGTCTTTGATTCTGATTCAAGAATTTTGTATCTTCTGCTATAAGCTATGAAAACTTAGGAGGAATTTTTTTTATCTTGAAGGTAGAATAAAATCTTAGACCATTCATTCTTTTGAGCAAAGGCCCAGATTTATATGTATATTTATATCAAGCTAGTGAAATGAAAGACTTGATATTATAATGATGTCAGCTCTCCCTAGACTAGTATATAGATTTAATGCTATACTCATCAAAATTCCAACAAGATTTTTCACAGAAATTGACAAGTTAATACTAAGAAGGACTTATGAACTCTTATACCTTGTGATCTATGGAGTACAGTAATAAAGACATAGTGATGCTCGTGTCAAATTAGACAAATCGTGGTCTACAATAGAAAGTACAAATTTTCCTTAGACATATATATGGCAAAAAAAACTTTAACCGAGAAACCACTGTAATTCAATGGGAAAAGAAAAGCCTTCTCAGGAACAGTACTAGATTTACTGGACCTTCTTTATCTAAGTTGTTGGACCAGACTCCACATCATACATAAATGATAAACTTCATAGTTTCCATAAAAGAATATAGCAACGTAGCACACTGTTCATCGATTTGCTCGAATGGGCACCAATAACTTCTCCATTGTGAGACTTGTTGTTACTGTTTTTGGCATATCAAATATGCAACGGGGGGGCTTGCCAGGCTCTGCCCTGCAGGCAGGATGCTCTCGGTAGCTTTCCAAGCTCTCTGAGAGGGACAGAGGAATCGAACCCGGGTAGGCCGCATGCATGGCAAACGCCATACCCACTGTACTGTAGCTCCAGCCCATAAAAGACCATGGAGCAGATCAAAATATTCTTGGAAAAAATGCTAACTGAGATCATTATAAAAGGAAAATGGTAATAAATGAAACTTTATAAAAATATGAAACTTCTCATTAAAGTTTTTATTAAAAAATTAAAATGCAAGCATATAGTGAAAATAAATATTTGCAATATATAACAAAGGACTTGTATCCAGAATACAAAAAGAACTGCTACAAAGCAATACTAAAGAGGCAAAAAAAACAATTTAATAAATACAATGAACAGAGTACCACTGTAGCACTGTCCTCCTGTTGTTCATTGATTTGCTCAAGTGGGTACCAGTAACGTCTCGCAAGAAATTGTGAGACTTGTTGTTACTGTGTTTGGCATATTGAATACATCACGGGGAGCTTGCCAGGCTTTGCTATGCGGACGAGATATTCTCGGTAGCTTGCCTGGCTCTAGGAGAGGGGTGGAGGAAATCGTATCCAGGTCAGTCCCGTGCAAGGCAAATGCCTTACACACTGTTCTATTGCTCCAGCCCAATAAACAGAGTAAAAAAATACAAATAAATGGGGTTGGAGAGGTAGGATAGCATGTAGGGTGCTTGGCTTGCATGTAACAGATCCTGGTTTGGTCTATAACGCCCTATTTGTTCCCCAGAGCCCCACCAGAAGTGATTCCTGAGTAGAACCAATAATAACCTTGAGTCTTGGCAGATGTGTCTCAAAAGACAAAGCACCGTAGCACTGTCCTCCCATTGTTCATCAATTTGCTGAAGGGGGCACCAGTAACGTCTCACAGCAAATTGTGAGACTTGTTGTTACTGTTTTTGGCATACTGACTACTTCTCGGGGAGCTTGCCAGGCTTTGCTGTGTGGGCAAGATACTCTCGGTAGCTTGCCGGACTCTCCAAGAGGGGCGGAAGAATTGAACCTGAGTCAGCCGACACATACAAGGCAAATGCCTTCCCCACTGTGCTATCGCTCCAGCCAAAAAAAAGAAAGAAAAAATAAGAAGAAGAACAAAAGATATACAAGTTAAAGACTTCAATAGATGCTTCCCAAAACAATATTTATAAGTTGTCTATAAGTACATGACAATATTCTTTATATTGGTAGTAGAGGGAAAGACAAATACAAGTCACATTCACATACCTCTGCATATTCACTAGAACTACCAAAATTAGAATCTGGTGATATCAAAATGCTGTAAAGAATGCAGAAGAACTGGACACTGGTAGAAGCTTAAAATGGTACAACCACTGTGTAAGAATGTTTGGCAACGTCAAATAATGTTAACCTCCATTATTATTTAGCAATTCCCCCTTTAAAATTTTGACCTCCCCAAATGAAACCATATTCTAACAAAAAATTGTACAAAAAATATTTCAACTTTGCAATCACCCAAAATTGAGAAAATGTTCATCAACAAAAATACAATAAACAAATATCCAGCAATGGACTATTGCTTATTAACAAAAGGAACAAACCAATTATATATATACATATATACATATATATAAGTTAATCTCAAAAACATTGTCTTCAATGAAAGAAGACAAACTGAAAAAGTACACACAGTATGCTCTGATTTATATTAAGATGTAAAACGTGCACAATAAATGTAGGAAGATAGAAATCTGAAAGATAGTTTCCTGAGGTGACTATAGAAATAGACAGGAAAGAAGTTCCCAGGAACTTTTTGGGATGATGAAAATGTTCTATCTCTTGACCGGAATGTCTATTATATAGTTTGTATTGGTCCAAATTCTTAAAATTTATACTTAACCTCTAGAATTTATTGCATGCAAATCTTAGTTCAAAGTGGAAACAAGAGCACAAACTAGACGATTGAAAAGTCAATGACTCAAGGTCTGACATCCAAGTTAGGACAGTTGGACTTGAGATTTTTTGTTGTTTTCACAGGTGTGAAGGGAGATAGCCACTCACACTTTCCACAGCTCCCAAGGCAATAATGCCAGGAAAAACAGTGATCAAGATTTGATAGTGTCCCTGGACAGAGAACACCCTGGTTTATAAAAGCAGGTGCGATGCCCGCAATGACTGACTCAGTCAGGCACCATGTTGGCCTTCTTGGTTCTCGTGTCTGTGGCCCTTGTGTCATCTCACCAGACTGCAGAGCACTTTGAAGGGTAAGTAAGCGACTCCCTCAATGAGAGGATCTCTCTTTCTTGCTAGACCCTAGATCTCAGTGCATTCCTTTATTCTGACTGTTCTCTTCTGCTGCTGTCCCGCTATTCAGTGAGAAGGTCTTCCGCGTTGATGTTGAAGATGAAAGCCACATCAACTTGCTGAAGAAGTTGGCCAGCACTACCCAGGTAAATAGCAACTCTATTCCTTATTTCGCTTCACACTTATTCAGAAATCTGGGAGTGTGATATGCTCCCATCCAAGTAAGAATGGCATGATATATTAGCTATAGCACTTCTGCAGTTTTAAAAAATAATAATAAATTTTTAAATACTTGAAAAATGGTACCACAAAACATTTTTCCAGGCTAAACGCAATAGCCACAAGCCCCGTAGCATTATAAATCTGTGAGAACTTTACAAAGAGCTGACAGAGCAACTGGATGAGCTGGAACTGTGCAAAGGTCATAGAACATCTAATGTACAGTTACTTCCTTTCTAAGGCTAAAAAGAAAAATGATCAGCATGGATAAGACTGAAAAACTGGGCTTTGGTCCAACTAGAAATTTATTTCCACATCCCATGCATCATCTGTTCTCTTTTATTTTCTTTCATTCCAAATCAAACAGCTTGAGTTTTCATGACCTTGATTCAAGCTCTCTTGTAATGACATAGCAGGAAGGGTCAGACTGGGTGAAAAAAGGAAAAAATTGCCATGAGTGATTTACATACTTTTCTTTCATTTTCAAGAAACAAAAATATCTAGGCTACTGTTTTTTAAAAGATCCATCCTGGACTTGCAGAGTATAGAGGACAGGGCACTTGCCTGGCATGTGTATGATCCAGGGTGCCATCTCTGACATCACATATTCTTCCCAGAGCACTGCCAGGGGTGGCAAAATAATATTCACTGTACATTGATTCAAACTGAAATTATTAATTATATATGTAGGATGACAATAAGCTGTTGGGGCTCTTGGGGGCATTCATATTTCAAATATATAATACCCTCCTTGGAATCCTCCCAATCCTCCTGATTTTGAGGCCTAACAAAATCTCTTAATACATCCAGAGAAATGAGAAAACTCTCTTTCTCAGAGTCATCTGACTGTCTTACAAAGCATTTCAATTATTATTCTGTGCTTTAAAAAAATGTCTCTAACTTTGATCTACTGGACCTACCTGATCTTAATGTTGTCATGCTTCTAAGACATTTCTTTTTTCAGTCCTTCCATCATTTCTCTTAGTGCTGGTTTACTCACTTTTAATCATGCTTGTCCCCTCTGTATACAGCTCAGTCATCCCATTTCTATCCCTTTTATATAATATAGCTCTCATAATTGATGATAGAACTTCAAGTATCCTCTGAATAATATACCTTTAGGTTCATGTGTGAAGCAGACATTTATGAAGGGGTCCTCACAGTCCTTACATCATCCTCAATGGCTATAGAATTATCTTCACTTATACAAACCTATGACCAATCAAAACCATGATGCTATTTTTTTCTCACATGAATCACTCTCAAGTAATCTTCCTTCTGAGCATGCCTAATTGTTATTTGCCTATATGCAAGATTTAGGCTACTTTTAGCATGGTAAGACCATTTTAAAAATGAATTCAGGGGCCTGGGGCAATAGCACAGCAGGTAGGGCATTTGCTTTGCACGCAGCCGACCTGGGTTTGATTCCCAGCATCCCATATGGTCCCCTGAGCACCGCCAGGAGTAATTCCTGAGTGCATGAACCAGGAGTGACTCCTGTGTATCGCCGGTGTGACCCAAAAAGCAAAATAAATAAATAAATAAAAACTAGATATTTGAAAAAAATAAAAATGAATTCAGCACCCAGGAAAATAATTCATTCCCAGAACTTTGCATTACCAGCAAGTTTGATAAGCATGCCCTCTTAACACTTAGTCACTGATCCAGAAAAATATTACGCATGTCAGGGGTCAGTACAGAATTAGATACCGCCTTCATGGTTTATTCATCCGATACCTATTTATCACGAGTATAAAACATGCCAGACACAAGCATTAAGCTCTGAGAGCAAGTCATTAACCAACTCTCCTTGTTGAACATTTGTTCAACTTCCAAGTTATTGGAGTGTTAGCTAACACTGTCTTAATTTCCATCTTGCAAAGAAGAATCTATATGCAAAGATTTGGTCAAACTCTTTGCTAAGACCACATTTCAATGTTCTAGTTGACTCTTCCATTAGTTAATTGGGCCTGACTTATTCTTGCTTTGAACCACTCTGGCTTCCAGTGATCACAGCTTCCTGTTCTCAGGATTGCTATTCCATCTGTTTCCAGTCTACACCACAGCTTTGCTAAAACTCCTGCTTCAGGGATTCACCTTTTTTTCCTTTTTGATATCTAAGATTTATCCCCTCTATTCCTTGGTGACTTCTTCAAATTCTGGTTCCTTCAATATTACTGAGATGACTGTTGTCACATCAATAATGTCAGTGTGGTCATATAAAAGTCGACACTCTCTTGTGGCCACGAGCTGCCAATATGGGCTCAGACTTCCTGAGTTCAAGTCCTGGCTTTATCTTGATAAGGATAAACTTTGTGTCTGTCATCATCATCATCAATTCCATCCGGAAGTCTGAATGCAATTTTCATGGCCCGAAAATCCCCACTCTCTCAGTGACTGTTTGCTGCCTTGGTCTTTCCAAACAATGTATCTCTGCCAAATCATCATATGTAGAAATTTCTTTACTCATAATAATACTATTTCTTGCTGGAAGTAGAAAAGAAGCAAGATATAGTAAAACTCCTTCTTGGAAAAGACAAAGATAAACAAAAGTTAAGTCAGATTACTTTGCAAAAATGTTAGACTTGTACTCCAAGCTGTGAGGCTGCATGCTTCTTTATTCATCTTATTTCCAGCATAGCTGAGAGATATTTTATTCTTCTGAGCCATCCTGCCAGTGCAGCATATTCTGGTCTGCAGCCTTCCTGACAAGATTGGTACAAGGTCACCTCATCTTTGCATTCATCCTTGGTCATGGGTCCTTCTTTCTGACTTTGAACATGTCCTTTAACAAGTTGAATGCATTGAGGAAATCTGTAACTACTCTGGATGCCAGTGGCTTTCCCTTCTTCATCTGTAATTTTTCAGGATGCACTTGGTATTCTTGAATCAGAATCATACTTGTTCCCTTCAGGGAGACATTTATTATTTTAAAAAATTAATAAATAAGAACGAACCACTCTCTTGGGGTCAGAGTGATAGGACAGGAGGTAAGGCTCTTCCCTCGCACACAGCTGACCAGTTCAATCCCTTGCACACACTAATAGTCCCTGAGTACCACCAGGAATTATCCCTAAGCATAAAGCCAGGAGTAAGCCCTGAACACTGTTATGTGTGACCCAAACAAAACAAAACCTAAACAAAACCAAAAAAAATAAAAGCCCACTCACTTCTCTGGGTCTTCTTGAACTTTGTTTGTCCAGTTTAAGATGTCAAAATAGAATGCTGATTGATTGATTTCCAATGTTCTAATCTTTCCTGCAACACTAGAACATTCCTCCTTGCTTTCTGGAATTAGGCCTAGAGTAGAATTGCTTTTCTTCCAAAAAGAAAGGAACACTTTGTTAAGATAAACACGAAGTTGCTCAACTTATAGTCAAACACAATCTGAACAAACAAATTTGTACAAATTTGAATAGAATTAAGGACATTAAAACTAATAGTTATTATCTTAAATGTGCATCTTACTTTTAAAATGATTTAAGAGATATGATTTTATCTTGTTTTCTGTTAGCTTTGTGAATATTTCAGAAGGACTCTAGTTAGTAGCCAGTTGGCCTATAAAGTTGGTATTTCATAATTGTATCACTACAACATGTTTCTTTACCTTCCATAATATTTTCTTGTGATTCTCTACCATTCTGATCTTGTATTTATAATTTTATTACTTTAGTTTTATCATTTCAAAATATATAATTCAATTCTTCACATCTTTTGTTACTTACTCCATATCCCTTTTATAGATACAGATCACATTCACAAGGTCTTAGTAATTTGAAAACTTTATAAATGTATCCTTATGCTTATATTTAAGCATGTCATTTGTATCCATACTTTTCACATTGGAATTAGATGCCAAGTTATATGATTGTTCCTAACATTTGGGTCCCATAACTTCTAAGTGCTGAGGACAAAACTCAGTATTATAAGCCTGCATCATACTGGTAGGACTCCAGAGTTGGTAGTATGCTTGCTGCTAAGTTTCTCTATGAAAAACTAAAAATTGTTAAGTGACCTCAGGTTTGGTATACAGGTATTCTGTCAAATATGTTTATGAGATTTCCTCACCCTCTTTTAAAGAATCCACTATTCTCACAGCACAATTTAAAAAGTGATATATACTATCTCTCTATATGTTTTCCCCAATATTTTGTAGACCCATGGCCAGTAGGTAAGAGGTTAGAAGGCTAATGAAAGCAGCTTTCAGAAAGAGATAAAAAGAAAACATTTCATAAAGCATTTAGATTGTTCTGAAATAGCACTGAGGATGATAGTAGAATTGGCATCAAGGATACTGAGGCAGCATTTGCTACTTTGAGTATAAAGCTGGTATCTTAATACATCTTCTAAAGCAGAACAAGGTGAGTGAGAAGTGGATAAAGAGAAGGCAGGCAGCTAGCAAAGGAAGCTCCGTTAAGTTGCTCCCATGGAGAAAGACTGGAGTTTGCTCCTACAGGGACACATGCTTTGGGCTCTCACCACATAGGAAAAGATGGAATTGGAGTTTTTATACATCCACTTTCCAGGGCCATTGTTTGGGCTTTTCTCTGGAGAGGTCTATTTTCAGGGCCTATTAATTGTGAGCTTGCCTTTTCCCAGTTTAGGGGACAGGGGAAGGAGAGGGGTTCTCCAGTCCAGAGCTGCAGATCTTGGCCAAGAGAATTTTCCCTGGAGCACATTTAATATCCCATAGATTGCTAACGGGTGGGGCTGTCAAATGACCAACTGAGGCAAAGAAATCTTTGTGTGCTTTGCCTATGACAAATCTCAATGTCTATAATAAAACTCCTCCTCCCTCTCCTGTTCCACAAGCTTTCCTTGAGAGCAGAGATTCAGAGCTTACTCTCATTGGAAACGCTGCTTCTTTTCCTTCTGCTGTGTTTGTCATACTTCCTTTTACAAAGCTATCTAGTAGGAACTCAGCCCCAGTTCCTGCCTTTCTCTGCTCTTATCACAACAAGCCTTCACAGTGCTACCATATCATCAAACTGTTTAACTGACCCTCATCTTTGACTCGCTAGAGCATATTCTGTACAGTAGATGCTTATCAAGGCATTGTTAATCTCTCCTTTCCAACCCCCCTGCCCTACAATGACAAACACCCTGACAGCATTTCTTTCCAGAATTCCTCCTAATGTCACCTCCTAGTGTCCCTATTTCCCATTGCCGTGGTATTCCCTAAGACCCCAACAGTTGGTTGAAGATTACCTGATTGGCTTCTGGATTCCCCAGGGGGTATCATTAAGTTATCCTATGTTCTCTCATAGGATATAACCCCTGCATCTACCCTAATGTCCTGGCAAGTTTTAGGCAGTGGCCATACAGCTCACCACCTGTTTCCTCTCCAATCTGACACTAGCTTACCAACATTGAGATTGGAACTAGAAAAGACACATAGGCAGAGAAATACCAAGGGTCAGGGATCCAGGCCTTTACTCAATTCATGGAAAGAAGAGAAACTTCCTTCTGAAATGGCACTGAGAATGGTAGTAGAATCAGCATCGAGGATACTGGGGCAGCAATATATCCTTGATTCCTGTTTTTCAGTGGGAATACAAAAAGATATTTGAAACGATCTCACACACACACACACACACACACACACACACAAGTATCATTTCAAATAATGTATCATCCTGTCATTTGGTGGGGGGATAATTTTCCCTAAAAGTTTCCCCCTCCCCAAGGACAGAATTCTGTGTGACATGCTCACATGTATACCGAGTAAGTTATACATGTCACCAATGGAAGTTAATAAGTAATTAAACAAATAGAGATATTAATACAGTATTAAATCCTTGGGGATGTTTTGTTCTGGCCATGGTCAGATGTCTACTGTAGAAAGATACATTTTCTCTCATAGGATATCATCTACTGGTCAGCTTCCTGTTTCCATACATAACTGAGAGAGACATTACTCAGACATTACTCCAGTTAAGTATCCAGACTCTTGGGAGCCTCAAGAGTTCCAAAAGAGATTTATATAAATAAGTCTATTAAAAACTAAAAGTAAAGTCCCTGGTGTGTGGTTCAGTGTTTAGAGCACCTGATTTTCATACAGGAAGTCACCAGGTTGATCCCTGGTACCTTCCCATGCACCTGAAGGCCATAATCTCGCAAGAACTGTAGTAGGAGCCCCAGTAACCCACAAAAATTTCAATTCCTAGCATCCTACGGCCAAATATGTGAGTCCTGGGGCCACCACAGCTTGCAACTCCCAGACTTGGCAACAAAAACAACCAAGGGAAGAAAAAAACAAAATGTAACCAAAAATATAAAAAAAATTAGCAGGGGAAAAAATGTGAAAAGCGAAGCTTGATTTTCTATCAAATATTTTGTCTCTAGTTAATTCATCATTATTCATTCAGCACATTTATCTGTTACGACAAACATTCCCATTACAAAAAGCAACTGTTCCAGAAAAATCAATAAGTAGAAAAGAGCAGTCATAGAATCCTATAATTAACTAGCATTGTGGGGAATAACTATCTATTCTTCATGCTTGTGAATAATCAATGAAGGCTATTGTGGAAACATTTTTATTGGTGTTCAACAATTTGGTCCCAACTCTTATTAACTCAATTTTAAGAGATTTCACAGACAACTTAATTTTCAAAGTAACTCAATGGAGTAAAGCAATACAATATAATATTTTCTTCCATCTTCAGCTTGACTTCTGGAAACCTGACTCCGTCACCCAAATCAAGCCCCACACCTCCGTTGACTTCCGTGTAACAGCAGAAGATGTCTCCGCTGTGGAAGACTTCCTGGATCAGAATGAACTCAACTATGAGTGAGTTTATGTTCTAGCTGTTAAATGCCCCTGTGGGTATGCTGGCATCCCAGTCTCCCCACAGTCCTGGCAAGAGCCAACAGAGACCAAGATGGTTGCTTGTTAAGCATACGGCAGAGCTGGTCCTGGCTTCCAGATCTTAAAACTTCAAACCCAGTGCTTTGTCTGTTGAGTTACTGATCTCATAAGCATAGTTCGGCTCCCCACGTCTTTGGCCAGATATCAGAGCAGATACTGCTCTATATGAATATATATATATATATATATATATCGAACAAGTCATGGGACAATCTTATTACTAGTTAGAAACAGGTGTAGACCCAGATCATATTCAGTCTGCTTTCCAGTTAAGTATCCAGACTCTTGGGAGCCTCAAGGGTTCCTACAGTCACACTGAGTGGTCCTTCTGTTCTTCTTTCCTTCTCTGCTGCCTCTAATGGCAGGAGATGGCATGGGGAAAAGGGCAGATATAAAGGACACTGATTCCCTACAAAGTGCGAATAAACTGATCGCACCATGCTCCTCTATCCAAATGCTACTTTGGTTCATCTCAGCCCTTTGAGATTAATCAGGGGCAAGTATTCAAGTGTTGGTACTGTAAGTCATGAGTACCTACTTATTCCAAGCACCAAAAAGAATAGAATAAGTTCCACCTATGTCAGAGGAAGAAAAGCTTGAAATAAATTGGGATCATGAGGCTAGAGAAACAGTAGCACTGTAGCACTGTCCTCGCGTTGTTTATTGATTTGCTCAAGCAGGCACCAGTAATGTCTCCAGTAGCAGAGACTTGTTACTGTTTTTGGCATATTGAGTACACCATGGGGAGCTTGCCAGTCTTTGCTGTGCGGGCGGGATACTCTCGGTAGCTTGCCGGGATCTCCGAGAGGGATGGATGAATCGAACCTAGGTCGGCCGCATGCAAGGCAAACGCCTTACCCGCTTTGCTATCACTCCAGCCCTAGAGAAACAATAAATCAGATAAGGTGCTTGTCTTGCCTGATCCCAATGTGTGTTTGATCCCAGACACCTCATTATGGTCCCCTGAGCACTGCCAGGAACGATCCCTGAGTGAAGACCCAGGAGTGAACCCTGAGAACTGCTGGGTGATGTTAAACAAACAAACAACAACCAAAAAAAGAAAAAGAAACAGGGACCATGTGTAATAGTACTAAGGTGGATGAGGAGCTGAGACGCAGGAGAACATATATCACATCTAGGGAATGAGATTTCTGCTGAGTTGAGAAAAATGAGTTAACGTTTACCTCATATAAGGAAAAGGCATAGTCTGGGCAGAGAAAGACTAAATGCTAAAGTTTGGAAGTGGGAGAGACCACTGTAACCCGGAAGCATTTGTAAGAGAGGATGTGGAGGGGAAGAGCTCTTGTTGGATGCAGAGTTCAGTCTTTGCTCTGCACCTGCAGATGTTTATCAAACAATTTAACTATCTCCAGCCACGCTCAAGTCTCCCATTTTGAGAACATCAGCAACATAATTTTGGATTAGAAATCATCGCATGCCTCTCACATTTTACAAATATAGTTGAGCATTTGTGCCAGCGACATTGTCAAAGTGCCGCCTATAAAATTGGTATCTTCATCAGGAGTGGTACAGAGTAATGCAGCAAGGAATTGCTTTGGGGGGAAAAAAACAGACAAGATACAAATCTAGGTTCTACAACATCCTGGCTGTGTGGCCAAGCTAATTAGCTTAACTTCCCTGAGCTACAGTTTCTTTATCCATAAAATGAAGACATCACATCTCTCAAAGGTGAAGATGAAATCCACGTAAATAAATTTCAACTGATAGGACTGTTGCTGAGAATGCTGGGAGGATTTGCTATCGCACCCAGAGGCAGGTTACACTGCTTTAAAAGTTCAATAGAAACAGCAATATTTAACCCCATTATCATGCTTTCCACAGCTTAGCTCTCTGCCTCCGCCTGAGCAAAGCAGCCAAATGTGACCCAAAGAACGGAATGCCTTTTTAAAACCGAAATATAACGGGCCGTTTCAGAACGGAATGAAGATTCCTGTCTCTGATCGTTCGCTCTGCTTGTTACACGGGGATGGACTTCTAAAGTCCTAGCCTCTAGGAGCCAGTCGAGCATTCAAAAAGATGACTGCTTCTTTGTAATTCCTTGAGAAAGGCAAAAGGAGGTGCAGAGACCCTAACAACCCTAGCCCCCCGAATGATGTCCTAGATCTCCCTGTATCACAAAGAGGCAAAACGGCTTCTAAACCCACACAAAGAGGAAGAATGACTTCTAAATCCATGCCTTTGATCATGTGGAAAATTCACGGCTCTTTTTTGCGTGAGTAAACTTCTGGAGAACCGTGTCCTAGTGTTGTCTCATCTGCAACATAGCGCCCTCTCAGAGGACTAGGTTCTTACTCACGTTCACGTCTCTGTTCACCGCTAGGCCCCTTTGTATATAATTTTCTAAATATTAAATAATAATAAGTCCCCAGGAATCCAAGATGCGCCCCGGCAGTATCCCCATGCAGCCCATTATTACCTCAAATGATAACAAACGTACATTCACGTGGTCTCCCGCTAGCAAGATCATGCAGAGTGCGTGTATAAAGGAGAAGCTGTCTGCTGTACCATTCTGCCAAAATCACTTTTCAGCCCTATCAGAGTTCCAACCCTCTTCACCAGCACTAGTTATAGTTTGACAGCCTTAATCAGGTTCTGAATTATCACACGGGAAAATTCAGATGCGTGCACAAGAAAGAAAAATAAAAAGCTATTTTTAACTTACTTTTTTGGCTTTTGGGGGCACACCTGGAGATTCACACAAGTTCCCCAAAAAGCCAAAAAAAAGTTAAAAATAGTTTTTATTTTTCATCGCCAGGAGTAATTCCTGGCGGTGCTCGGGGGGCCATAAGGGATGCTGGGAATCGAACTTGGGTTGGCCGTGTGGAAGGCAAACACCCTACATGCTGTGCTATCGTTCCAGCCCCCATTTTTAACAATTTTTAAGTGTTTTTATGCACTCTGATTCACAGACAGGGGTGGGGGGGACCTAGAAATTGGAAGGTGTTCATCTCCATTTTGTGGTTTGCAGAATTCCTTCTGACACAGGCAGGAAGCTGTCTTTATTTGCCCTTTGCCCTCCAAGGCGAGACAGTCCCCACTGATCGTCTATCACTGCATGGTGCTGCTGCATGTCGCAGGGTCATGTGACGAAGCAGCCTCAATGCAGTTCATGATGACACAGATGTGTTCTTCCGTAGCAATGGGCAGAGTCCGGGAACTGATCAAAATCCGGGGAGGGGAGATGAGAAAGTGAGCTGGGTCTCTTCTCACTGTCCCTGGCTTTCTTGAGAAGCTGGATTATCTCATTTTCTTGCATATTTAAGGAGGGAGGATGGGGGCAGCTGGATGGCACTAAAAAGAGAAGATTTTTATAGTATATAAATGTATAAAATAGTGTGCAAGCTTCTGTACTTTGAAACTTAATGCCGTCCCTATTATATTAAGAAGCATTGTTTTAATCTCCTAGAAGTTCATTATTTAGTAATAATATTTTGTAATATAACTAAAAAAGTGCTTCATCCTAAATCTAATAAAATGAAATCATCATTAAGCTGGAGAGGATCACTTAAGGTCAATCCCCTGCCTTCTGGCAAAAAAAAAAAAGTCATACCACATCAACACCTGATTTCTCATGCTCCTTTGCAAGTGACTGGGGGAGGCTTTGACTCTTGAAAGTCAAGCGGAATTTCACTGCCTTTGGGGAAGGAGGGCGCTTCTTTTACCTGGTTATTGATGAAAATGTTTAATATTAAGCCCAATAATAGATCTAAGAATTACTCTTCTGTTTGTGGCACCAAACAAAACACTAGCCCCACAGTCCTCCAATTCTCCTGGGAAATTTAAATCTGCATAATGAATACGAAGGACAGAGAATAGATAATTCGAAGCAGTGCACACCTCCCCCTCCCCCTCCCCAGGATTTCTGGCAGGTGAGAGATGGCTGTAGTCATGCCTTCCAGCCTGAGTCCCTGGAATGTCCACCCACTGCCTGGGAGCAATTCACTGCTGCTTTGCTCTGGACACTCTCTAAGGAACCATGTGACCTGGATTTTCTCCCTGCTTGAGGACAATGGAGAAATCTTGCTAAACGAAAAGTAAATGTTGCACCACAGTCCCTCTTGAATTATTCATTTGCTCCTTCTGGAAGTCTGAGTAGCACCCCCTTTGGAGACAGAGTGGGGTCTTTCATGCTGGCTTCGAGTCTTCGAGTCTTCGAGTTTTCCAGCCAGAACCTGGAAAAAACTGAGAACAGATGACTGGTTAAAGAAATTTTGGTACATTTACACAGTGGAGTACTATGTAGCTATTAGAAAAGATGAAATCATGAAATTCACATACAAGTGGTACTACATGGAAAGTATCGTGTTAAGCGAAATGAGTCAGAAAGAGCAGGATAGACACAGAAAAAATGTTTGTTATATCTTAAGGTCATTTTTCTAAACTAGCAAAACAAAAGTCAAGCATACAGTTGGAGGACCATCCAGCAGAAATGAATGATCTAAACTCAATATTTGGGCTGGGATTTATTACAACCTTCGCTTGTTATAAGTCTAAAGTTCCAGCCATCAGGAAGCTTTTCTCAGAACGAAGCCATAGTCCAACAGGGAGGGTGTTTGCCTTGCACCTGGCCGACCTGGGTTCAATCCTTGGCACCCCACATGGTCTTCCAAGCACCGCCAGGAGTAATTCCTGAGTGCAGAGCCAGGAGTAAGCCCTCAGCATCAGTGAGTGTGACCCACCCCCCTAAAAAGCATATCTTAACATCTGGAGTCAGGACTTAAGCTGGAAGCTGATATCCCAGCTTACCTGGGACAGAGAAGACTCCTGAAACGCACCAGTGTCCATCTCTAAAGCAGGAGAGTCTTAAAGCGGAAAGAGCACATGAGAGCTCAAGCACAGTCCGATGCTCGCGCCAGGCCTCTGACTCGTTAGCTCCAGAGCTCAGGGGCTTCCTGCTCTGAGTTTAGGGTCTGAGACCCGTGATCTGGGCAGCCAGTGCCAAGGAAAAGCCTGCCAAGCACTTTCAAGCTTCTCCCATCCCTTTTTGCGCATTCGTCTCTCTGGGTGAGCAGTGGGGCTCCCAGGCAGCAGAAACAACCCCACAAAGACACGCAGACCCCAGTAGGCGGCGGCGTTTCACCTGCCAAAGCAGGGGCTTCCGGCCTTAGGGTGCAGTCCCCAGCAGCTGGCCTTGCCTCACGGGATCACCCACTCTGGTATTCTACAGGGTCTTGATCAACAACCTGAAATCCCTGCTGGAGGATCAGTTTGACAGCCAGGTCCGCAGCACCGGACACAACTACAAGAAGTACAACAACTGGGAAACGGTACGAGATGCCCGTGGTTCGAACTGACTTGGCTGTGCGGGTTGGACCTAGCACAGCTCACTAACCGCCTCCTTCCACCCCACCTCCCGCTCCCACGGTTCCTTTTGGTAGATCGAGGCTTGGACCGAACAGATCGCCAAGGAGAATCCCGCCCTCGTCACCCGCAGCGTCATCGGAACCACTTTTGAGGGACGCAATATGTACGTTCTGAAGGTAATCCTCTTTCTCCCTGGCCCGGCCCTGAGGCCTTCTCATCAATAGCTTCTGAGACTCGAGCATCTGTTTCCCAACACTGCTGAGTTCTTCCTGCCTAAGCCCCCAAGGAATCAGACCCTCCAGTTTTGTTGATTTTTTTCTGTCATGGGAGGTGTTCAAAACATTATCTTGATTTATTCCAAAAGAAAGATGCAATAAAACAAGAGACGCCTAATAAATTTGAGCACATACCTCTAAGCAATGTGAATGATAACCTACCTTGATGACGTTGCTCTTCCAGATGTTGCTTGCAAATAATCCACTTGCTAAAGAGGCTCGCAGACAACATTACAGAATGCATCGACCATGTGTCTGTCGACCTCTAATGTCATTTTTACCATGTAACTCTAATGAAGAAAAAAAAAAGACAAGGACTAAGTGGGGCAGAAGGAAAAATTCATACTAGATTAGCAACAGTCCTGATTACTTCTAATTACTCACCCAGTTGTCGTGGCCATGTCACCTAATAATAGAGCTGAAAATAACTTCACGTGAGTACAATTAAGGAGGTTAATCAAGCATCTTCTGAAAAGATGAGCTTGTCAAGCTTAATAAAAATAATAAACAGCCACGCAAGCCCTCAGCTCAAACACTGTGAGTGTCTAGAGGCAGGAACATTTCGTGCTATTATGTTTTAATTTAATCATGGGCTAGATCTCTAGCTGTCAATTTTCACCTGTTGCATCTGAAGCCCAGACAGGTGGGGCCCACTAACCCCTGTGTGCAGTGAATCACAGTTCCACAGTTCTTCCTTTTTGCCTTTTGTGTGCAATAGGTTGGCAAGAGTGGAGAAAATAAGCCTGCCGTCTTCATGGACTGTGGTTTCCATGCCCGAGAGTGGATTTCCCCTGCCTTCTGCCAGTGGTTTGTGAAAGAGGTCAGTACTTAGAAGGATTGGAGGAAGTGGAATTATTTATTTTAATTAACTCTTGATGGGGGCTGGAGCGATGGCACAGTGGTAGGGTGTTTGCCTTGTGCGCAGCCGGCCCAGCCGAGCTGGGTTCTATTCCTCCGCCCCTCTCGGAGGACCTGGCAAGCTACCGAGAGTATCTCTCCCGCACAGCAAAGCCTGGCAAGCTACCCGTGACATATTCGATATGCTAAACACAGTAACAAGACTCCCAATGTTACTGGGCCTGCTCGAGCAAATCGATGAGCAACAGGAGGACAGTGCTACAGTGCTAACTCTTCATAATATAATTGTAATCAAAGGCATTAACAGAAAAACAATCCTAGTTTTAAGTTCCCATTTTCAGATATTAGTTTCAACTTTGATGGAAGCCTTCATAAATCAAAATGCTGAGTAGCTAGCAAATGGTATTTATTGGAATTTCTCTCCTTTGAATTCTCACCTACCTTTGATGGTGAGGTTGAATGCCACAGATAGATCATGTCAAGATTAAGGGTCCTGACGATACCTCAATGTACACATAAGAATTAAAGAATAATACATTACAGACTCTACTTAAATGACATTGTTTTTTCACTTATTATAATTCTAATGATGAGATATATGTGAAAGTTCCTGAAAAGCTAACATTTTTAATATCCATGAGTCCATATTGATATAATGACTAGATAAAGAAGAACGCCTCTAATAGATGATGTATAATTAAAAGATGTATAAAGAATATAAACTGTAGCACTGTAGCACTGTCCTTCCGTTGTTTATCGATTTGTTCGAGCGGGCACCAGTAACATCTCCATTGTGAAACTTCTTGTTACTGTTTTTGGCATATCGAATACACCATGGGGAGCTTTCCAGGTTCTCCAAGAGGAACGGAGGAAAGAATATAAACAACCAACCAAATTACTAGAAAATAGAAGAGTGATAGTCATTGCAGGAACCTCTGTGGATGGGTGCAAATAATTAGAAGCATATAGGTTATAGATAAAGCGCTGAAGTGAAAGGACAAGGGACAAGGCATTTGCCTTACATATGGCTGAGTCTGGTTCTATCACCAGCAACACCTGTTCTCCTGAGCACTGCCAGGAGCAATCTCCGAACCCAGAGCCAAGAGTAGCCCCTGAGCCACTACTCGGTGTAGCTCCCAAACCCAAGCGTCTCACCAAAAAGGTCCTTTCAATCAAAGGGAAGTTTCCACATTACTTAGGAAGAATTCAGTTTGCAATAGGGTAATGGAGTTTCCTTCTCAAAAAAGAGGCATAAGGAGGCATGTAGCTTGGGCTTTTGAATAAAGACTCCCCAAATTTATTGAGGTGATCTCACGTCCAAATGTGAGATTCCTTTTCCTTCTATGCCGGCCAGACCTTCCTGAAGTTTCTACATGGGATATGCCTAGCTCCTCAAACACACTCCTTACTTGCTAGGAGTAAGTCTTACCCTCATATCCTGCTAAATTCAAGGGGAAAAAATGTTGTAGTTACATAATACATATGTTATTTAAGGCATAGCAAGATACACAAAAGTTATCTATAAAAATCTCTGATTTTATTAAAACTGCTCATATTTCATTACAAAAGTAATTATGTGAAGTACACATCAATAAAATAGTCTTCTCTAAAACAGAAGAACTAGAAGCAATGATTTTAAGTGAAATGATTGGCTGTATTTTAATAACTGCTTTTTAAATATTCGTAATATCCATCCCAATAAAGGACAGTAAAGTCAGCGCTTATACAGTCTATAAAGTAGCAGAATTTTGCTTTTCCACTCTTTCATGAAACTCTACTGTATAATTCGTGCACAGGCTGTTCGTACCTACGGACGTGAAACCCACATGACTGACCTTCTTGAAAGGTTGGACTTCTACATCTTGCCCGTGGTCAATATCGATGGCTACGTTTACACCTGGACCAAGGTATACAAACTCACTCTGCCAAGGGCTGGTAAAATTAAAAACAACCACTTTCTCCAACATATTTCCTAACCACATGATCCACTTCCAGAATCGCATGTGGAGAAAGACCCGCTCCATCCATCCTGGTTCTTCCTGCGTTGGTACTGACCCCAACAGGAATTTCGATGCTGGTTGGTGCAGTAAGTATCTGACTCAACACTTCACCACTTTGCATGTGCCTGTTGAAAGCCAGAGATGAAAGACAACACAGAAACATACAACTATGTTTTATATTTTGGAGTTCTGGCTTTTTTCTTTTGATAGTTTTGGGGTCATACCCAGCAATGTTCAGAGGTTACTCTTGGCTCTGCACTCAAGAATCATTCCTGGTATTGCTCAGGTGACCATGTGGGATGCTGGGGATCGAACCCAGGTTGGATGTGCAGGCCGAGCACCCTACTTGCTATACTATCTCTCCATCTGCAGAGTTCTGACTTTCTAAAAGCACAGAAAATAGGTAAATTTATTCAATTAAAATGTACAGTGGCACAGACCATTCATAGACCACCGGTATTCTCAGGTGTGCTAGATACCAGAAACCTCAGGCATATTTCCACTACCTGTGTGATGTACAATCTCCAGAGGAGACAGTCATACTAAATAGGGACTCATTTAAAGTGGGTGTTTAAACAAAAATGAGATAGTCTAATTCACTTACCAAATAAGGGGAACCATTTTATAGTAACAGAAGTTCCTCACAATTATACTCTTTTCCCCTATTTATTAATTTTATGACACTATGGTTCTTCTGTAATGTTATGCAGGACAGTAGTGATAGCTCTTGCAATTTTTCACACAGTGAGCTGAAAAACAGCACCTTAGTCTTGTGACTAATACATCCTTTCATGAGGACAATGGAAGAACGCCCTCTGAAAAACAGACATTCACTCTCTAATTTGAAACTTGCCCTGTAAGAACTGGAGAAGGGAACGATCTGCCATGAGTAACGATCCGTGTTTTTCCAGAAATTGGAGCCTCTAGGAAGCCTTGCGATGATACCTACTGCGGACCTTCTGCAGAGTCTGAGAACGAGACCAAGGCCCTGGCTGACTTCATCCGCGCCCACCTCTCCTCCATCAAGGCTTACCTGACCATCCACTCTTACTCCCAGATGATGCTGTACCCTTACTCCTATGACTACACAGTCGCAAAGGACAATGTTGAATTGGTAAGTAGCCAACGGGACTCCTATGGTATTTTGTTGTTAATAATTTTGCAAATTCTACTGCTGAAAAAAAATACTCTAGGAAGAATTTCTGGAATTTCTTTTATTGATTTAAAGTGGGTGTTTAAACAAAAATGCAATACAGTGGACATAGTAAAATGCAATACAGATTTACAAGACTTTGTAGTTGGATCAAGAACCTGGTTAAAAAGAAATAGGATTTGGGTTCAGGGAATGAATTCTTCAGTGGGTGGTTTATTTACTGATATTCAAAATGACAATTCAGCTACATCCTCCTATTTCCCTCCAAATTAGCTCTCCTGATGCATTTCGGAGAATCACTTTCCTTGAGTGACTCTCCTCCTACAGAGTAGCCAAACTCCTCCCTATCTCAGTGTTTTTGTGCTGTGCCCATCAGCTGTCTGTGGGGTTAGTCCAGGGAATAAGGTAAAATGATCAATGAAATAGTTATCAGAGTTTCAGTGTTGCCACATAGCATTGACCTGGATTTGACAAACGCAAAGCATGGCAGATACCATGAGGAATTTGGCACATTTAGTCGCTATTGAGTGGAGTGACAGGATTCTAGAAATGTGTGTTTCATAGTTTGGGTGAGACGTAGAAGTCAGTCATGAACAGATGCTGTAAACAGTTCTCTATTGGTTATAAATAACAATAGAATTTAAATTATCTTTGACAAAAATGAGAAAAGTTGAGAATCAAGCTATAATTACATGAAAACTTAATAGTATATGACTTTAATACTCACATTAGTATACGTTACACATCAGCATTTTTAATCCTCAAAATGATGTATTTTTAATTTTTAAAACATCTGTCTACCAAAAGATGGGGTTGATCATCCGAGAGAGCAAAGATAATATTTAAAACACTTGAGTTATGCAAAAAGAAAAAATTTTCACTTAATCAGTAACTTAGACATTTGCCTTATCAAAATGCATAAATCTGGGCAGTAAGTAACTTTGACTACTGGAAGCGGTTGTTTTGTACTTCCAGATTCAGTCTTTCAGAGTCAAATAAAACATGTAATTTTAAAATATTTTGTGACAAGGAGAGAAAAATATCTCAGCTTCAAAAACAACAACAACAAAGCTAATCATTGACCTTTATTTAGATTTAAAATACTTAAATTTTTTTAAAAATATTTATTTAGATTTAATTTTTTTAAAAAATCTATTTTCCAAAATGCTTCCCATTTTCCCCATCTATCTCCAATAATAAAAACAAGTAAAACATCATCAGTAGGAGTCATTCAACAGTTCAATTTCCCGAGTAGGCTTATTCCCCCAGCAACTCTGGGTGTTTCTTAGTCTGCTGTCCAGAAATGTTACAAGCAGCAACTTGTGCCAATTTTCTGGCCACCAGAAGAGAGACAATGGGTATAATGATGTTAACTTCATCCCTGTGAATAGGTTTCAACTATAAATACCACTTCTGGGAAAAAATAAATACATAAACATAAAAAACATTAAAAAATAATAAACACTACTGAATTCATAAGTAAAATATCAAAATAAGATTTTAATCCATATGAAAGGCAGCAATTCTCCATAGATTTGGTTCACTTAATAGCATATAGTTTAAACATTGACACTAAAAGACAAAAGCTAATACAAAAATTTTAATGTGTCCCTTGGTCATGAACTAGTTCACAAAGATTGATCCTTTCTTATTTGGGGGAATTAAGTTCAAACCCTTTTTAGTGATGAAAATTTGTTCACCATATTGACTGCATAACCTAGTCTAAAATCTAGAAATGATCTTTATTTTCTTTTTTTAGTGCCCAAAATATTTTTATTAAAATAATACATATGCATATGCATATATAAATATAGGACCATGATATAAATGTAAAAAAAAATTCTATAACTCTTTATTTTTTTGTATTTTTGTATTTTTTTCTTCTTATATTTATTTATTGAATCACTGTAGGAAAAGTTACAAAGCTTTCAGGTTTAAGTCTCAGTTATACAATGTTCAAACACCTTTCCCTTCGCCAGTACTCATTTTTCATCACCAAGAACCCCAATATACCTCCCCTCCCAACCTTCCCAATGCCTGTGAGGCAGATGATCTCCACTTAACTTTTCTCTACATTGATTATATTCATTATTTCGACAAAAGATGCACCATTATTGTTTAGAATTTCCCCCCAATAATCAGAATTGCCGAAAAGGTATTGTGAAATACTTTGTTTTCTATAGCTGGTCATGAGAATCATATAATGATTTTGGATTTCTGCAAAGAGCCAGATAATTATGAGATTGGTTTCTGTGCGTCTGGTGTTATGGCCGTGCCAGAGAGCTGCTCACGGGGGGCAACTCATGACCTTGGTAGGGCGTGAAGGCCGGGCTGGTACCATCCCCCTTCCCATGAGACTGCAATTGCCCCGTCACTGCCAGCTCATACCTGGCTTTCCTATAGGCTCAGAGGCGGTGGAAACCTTGCTGCTGGGGGGTGGGGGGGGAAGGGGGAGGCAGAAGAGAGCAACACCCTTTCCGTCCCGGGGAGGCATGGCACCACAGTTTAACGCATGGTCTGTTCACTTTTCTGCCGCAAACTGCCGGGCTCTGGATTAAGTCCTTCTGCCTCTGGAGTCATGGCCGTACCAGAGAGCCACTTGTGCGGGCAACTCGTGACCTCGGTAGGGCATGAAGGACGAGCCCATACCACCCCCCCTTCCCATGAGACTGCAGTTGCCCCGCCACCACCAGCTCATACCTGGCTTTCCAATAAGCTCTGAGGCAGCGGCCACCTTGTATGCGATCCAGATGCATTTCCGCCAAAAGCTGTTGGGTTTTGAGATTTGTTTCTGAGTCTCCACGATCATGGCCATTAATCAGCTTGATCAGGAGCCAGAGAGGCTGTTTGTAGGCAGCGACTCGGGGTCTCACTGGGACAGGGAGGAAAGGGCCGGCTCCACCCCCATCTGGTGAGGCCCTGAGTGTCTCGTCACTGCAGGCCCAAACCTGACTGTCCAGTGGCCTCTGGAGGATGGCGTTCACTAGACCGCCAGGGGGAACAGGCCAAGGCACAAAATCTATTCCCATCTGTAGTGGCCCAAGCGCCAGTAACTCATTGCAGGGACAGGACGCATTTCTGCCAAAGTCCTTTGGGTTCCGAGATTCGTTTCTGAGTCTCTGGGATCATGGACATTAAGAGTTCTATCAGGAACCAGAGAGGCCAGGCCTCCAATTATATAGCTGAGCCGTAGGTGGTTTGTGGGTGTGTCTCCCACATGCCTAACTTTTGGCCATTTACTTTCTTGGTAAACTTTGCCCCAAGTTCTTGGGGTCTGGCACAGCAGCAATTTTGAGGTACGATCTTTATTTTCAAGTTCATCTTTTAGAACCTCATGTTTGTTTGTTTGTTTGTTTTTGCTACTTCCTCTGAGAGTTCTATCCAGAGAAACATGCAAGATACAGGGTTAGCAGTTTCCACGTTCACAATGCACTTATCTTGGTGGGGGGACACCTGGGTTACTAAGAATCCCATTTTCATTTAAAATCAAGGAAAGACGGGTAATAATAGTAGGAGAGATTTTTAATATCCTGTCCTCAAAAATTATTTTTAAATTTCAACATACTAGACATCATTTCACATATATCAAAGTAAAGTTATGCCTGATCTCTTCCCAGAAACTAGCTACAGAATAATCTTATCTGGGATGTTTATTTTTGTATTCACAAAACTAACAGATTCATGGAAAAGTACCAAATCATTATCACCAACAAATAATCAGTGCACCCTACTTCAAGGAATACAGGCACATACATTTTTTAAAGATTCACATAATAGTTGCATTCCACTTTTGGAGGTAAAACTGGAAAAATTTGGCATAGTCTGTGACGATCGTGCAGTGAAATGCAGTACAAGCTACTTTTTATCTTTTGCAGAGTTCATTTATGTAGATGACTGAAATGCAAAGACTAAATTATACTACCTCACATTCATAGATTTAAGAGTTATTTCTGGGGGCCGCAGAATGATCGTTGTGTGCAGCTTCCTCAATTCTGGATCTGTGACACTACATATTGTTTTAGAAGTACCTGCAAGTGTGAGACCTGAGCACAGTCAGGTGTGGCCCCAAGCCCTGCATGCGCTAGGACCTAGGTCCAGTGCCAGGAATTTGTGGTCCCCCAACAATGCTAGATATGGTCCTTATTAAAAACAAAAAAATCTTAAGTTACTTCAATTTCTGATTCTTTTGTGTATGATTAAAGTTTAGCACAGTGTCAAATAAAACAAAAAAAATACTTCTATTCTAGAAGTGAGGTTTAAGATAAATTTCACTTGGGTATTCAAGTCAGTCTGGATATGAATCTAGTTACAAAATACAAAATTACACACACACATAATCAAAAGAGAATTTTAGTGCCTTTTAAAAGTTTAGGCAAGGGGCTGGAGCGATAGCACAGTGGGTAGGGCATTTGCCTTGCACGCAGCCAACCTGAGTTCGATTCCCACCATCCCATATGGTCCCCTGAGCACCGCCAGGAGTGATTCCTGAGTGCAGAGCCAGGATTAACCCCTGAGCATTGCCGAGTGTGTCCCAAAAAGCAAAACATTAATTAATTAAAATTTAAAAATAAATAAAAGTTTAGGCTAAATATATTTGTTTTACATGGTTTTTATTTGTAATAGGGATTACAAATAGTTAAAGTCTTGATCTAGAGGGCCAGGGAGCTAAGACCAGGATGGGGGTAGGGTAGGCTTTGCATGTGCCTAACCCCAATTTAATCTCATCACTGCATGGACCCCTCCAGCAGTGCTCCATGTGGCCCTAGGACAATGCCAGGTGTGGTCCTGGTAGTTCCCATCCTCATGAGGCCTGAGCAACACCACAGACTCCATCCCTAGCATCGAACTGCTGGCTTAATTGATCTGGTATCACCAGAATGTCACCCTTGAACATGTTTTGAGAAGAAAGATAAATGTTTCATCCAAACTTCACGTCGCAATTAGAAAAATGTGACCTTTCT